TTAATTGATAGTGACACACACAAACCAAATACACTATAGCAAGGATGATGGACATGAACCAAACAACATGTATGAAGCAAAGGATGATATGAAACGCCAGGTATGACCTTACTTAATCCTGCATCATCCCACGGCATCCTGCTCCAGTCACGCTAGTTCTTCACCAAAGATGGCAATGCCTAACCTTTCAACCCCATTGTCAAAAATGAGACATACATATTCCTAACTCCCATCCTTTCATTCATTCAACAAATATCTACTAAGTGATCGGTCTACCACATACCAGACACTATTCTAGGCACTGGGGATATAACAGAGAATAAAGCTAAGTCCTTGCTTTCATGGAGCTTACATTCTAGTGGAGTACAACAAATATGTGTAAGTGTTCAGGTGATGAGCACCAAGAAAAAATATAACACAAGGGAAGGAGAACTTTCATGTACACCTGCCTCCAGTATGCCCTTCTTCACTTCTCAGTATAACTTTCCTTAGCTCTCAAAGCAAGAATAAATTATTCACTGGGAAAAAAAGTCAGCATTTAATGGGGATCTATGTATTAGGCACTAACCAAGATCCTGGAAATAAAAAGGTAATTAAGTCATAGCTGCAAACTTCAAGAAGCCCACAGTCCAATGGAGAGGGAGATACGTTTATTTCACAAACATTGTATCACAGTGTATACCAGGTTCTATACTCCGTGCTTCAGAAAAGTTGACACGCTTCTCATTACAATCCTAAGAGGCTGTACATATACAGAAACTGAAGCACAGAGAGGTAAAGTAACATGTCTGTGGTCACACAGCAAGTTACTGGCAGGGTGAGGACTGGAACACAGACCATCTGTGCTCCTCAACACCATGCTCTGGGTGATGCCTACATAATCATCAAAAAGCAATCTCCCTGTACAATAATATAGATATGAACAAAGAGCTAGGGGAGCACATAGCGGTGGGTGCCTAAGAAAACAAGAAAAACCTTCTTAGAGGAAATGATGGTTTGTCTTCAAAGACAAGGAATGCATTCTCTATCTCTGCTATGGAAACATTGCATGTCTATCCTAGGAGAAGGGCACTGTCTACCCTAGGAGATAGCTTACTGGCCTAAGAGCTATTCTACTGTAGTCCATGAGTCTTCTAGTAGGAGACGGTCTACTGTATCCTAGCAGAGGGCCACTGTCCATCCTAGGAGACATCTTATTGTACCCTGGGAGATATCCTCTTGTGAGAATCTCCTGGTGGGAGTAGCCTACTATATCCTAGGAGAGAGCCACTTTCCAATTTATCTGCATCCCCTGCCAGCAGCTGGCACACCAATGTTCAACAAGGACTTGCAGAATGCCAGTACACGAGTGTCCAGACTCTCGATAGCTGGGAAAAGAGGGTTTCTTTGACGAAGAGCAAGCCTCATCACCTTGTCCCCGCCTCCAAGATCCCAAAGCCCCCGGCCCACTCAAACCTGGCCACTGCAGGTCTTGACAAGCTACCCAGAGGGTGGGTCGAGGCAGAAGAAAAACCACCTGTCTGGGCCTCGTCACCGCAAGCCCCCCGCCCGCCCTGCCGCACACACTCGGCTGGCGGGACCGCCCTCCCCTTACTACCTCCGGGCAAGAGCAGGGAGGCCGAGGCAGCGGCGGCTTGGGTGACCGGGATGAAGGGCACGTTGAAGCTGAACTCCGTGGCCGAGGAGGAGAAAAGTAAGTTCGTGCCCGATGAGGAGGCGGAGGCGCCACCGCTGCCACCGTTAGGTTTCCTCTCGGCCATGGCGGCGGCCTACCGTCCGTTACACGTCTCCGGGTAGCCGGTGAGACACCACCGGCCGGAAACCACCCACCCTCGGGGCCAGCGCACTTCCGCACTTGCGCACGGGAGCCGGAACTACCGGCGGCTAGTCAGCTGCCTCCTCCTTCCCCTAGCCAGTGCCGCCAAAAATCAACATGGCGGCGCCGGCTTCACGCCCGAGCCTAGCACGTGACACTCTCTGCGGCTGCGCAGGCGTGGCCGGAGGCTCAGGGCCAAAGCCCGGGCAGGAGCGTCGAGGAGCGGCCCCTGCCGGTTCGGGATCAGAACACGAATTGACGCTTAATCAGGGGGTGCGGGGCGCCGCTATGGTTTTCCTAAAAGTACACACGGGGTGGTTTTACCAGCAAAGATTTTGGAGGAACTGCGGAAGCCCCCGGGAGCGGGTGACAGAGTGCCGCCAGAAGGAGGAAGGGACGAGAGGTGGTGTGGGCAATCCGCAGCCGAGGCCAAGCCGCACTCGCCCACTCGAGCACCCACGTGTCTTTCTCCACCGAACTGAACTCTCGTCGTTGGCCCAGAAATAGAAATGGTAAAACTTTTTAAGTTTTTAAGCCATAGGGGAAAATTGTTTAAAAGAGAAACCAGGGGATTGGGATGTGACTTTTTAAATAGCTTTCTATATCCACAGTCATCTTACTAGTTCAGACCAAAATGCATTGTGGATAACTTGGACATAATTGTCATTGTTCTTAGTTCGAGATTATGAAAGAAAAGAACAGAAGCAATCTTTCAGCTTTTTGGAGAGTGGGAAAGGAAGGCGAGACCCCAAAAGAAGCCTCAAATAATGAAACTCCCCCTCCCAGCTGTTTACACCTATATAGAACCTAAGTTTATTAATTCATTCAATAGCTAATATGCTTACTGTCAAAGATTTTTTAAAAAGCTGGACACTACTTAAAGCAGTAAGATAGATTTTATTTAGTAATAACTGTTACAGTAGGGAAGAGGGTCCAGCATGAACTGAGCTCAACTTTTCTGAAACAAAAGGTTGGAGACTTTTTAAAGGCTGTAGTGTGCTAAAGGAAAGGCACTGAGGCCTGTGAAGGGAGATTGGTTCCCATGGCTAAGCCGGCTGGGTTTGTTAATTGGTGCTTATCCAGAGGAGACACATAATTGTCCCATCTTCATGACAGGCAGTGGTGTACGTCAGAGCAAGGCAGCAGCAGAAACTGGGAGAATGAGAACTACTATATTTCTTTGAATGGTTACATTTCAAAGAAGTGGCTCTCAGGCCCTTGGGAAGACAGTTCTCCAGGGTTAAAGATTTACTTCTCAAAGGAGCAGAGGAAGGATTTATAATTGCAAGATTTCTAAAGCAGCTGTTCTAAGAGAGGATTCAGGGGCCTATATGCCTATGGCCAGGTTTTGGCTGGGATAAACAATAAATTCTCCTGGCAGCCATGAACTTTCTCAGGCAGGCATTTTAAGGAGGGCTGGGGTCATCCTAGATACATGGCCTTAAACTGCTAGAAGCCATGCTAGAGTTTGGTCAAGGAGAGAGTCTTTGTCACTATTATGGGTGGACAAGGCATGATACTAAACACCAGGGATACAGTGGTGTACAGGGTAGACACAGGACCTTTCCTTCTTGAAGTTTAGGGTCTGATCAGGAAGACAGACAACGAAACACATAATAACAATAAACTGAAGTGCGATGGATGTTATAAGGCAGAATTTCCCAAAATGTGTTACAT